ATATTTATCTTATCCTTATGTAAGTACAGAAATGTATTCATAACTTTCTGATACAAATAACATGTTATATGCCCTCGGTGTAAGAACTTGCAGAGACATGTACTTCAATGGAGGGCCAAAGAAGTTCAATCACGTTTCTTGTTTGAAGAGGAAGCATGGTCTTTGCTCCAGAATGTGGATGAATGAAAGGTGGCATTGAACAGTAGAACAGATTAAGGGATTTTAAAGCCACTAAAAATGAAGAGAAAGAATGAAAGTATGATTACTTTAGTTAACTCTTGATGCTAATAATGCAGCTTATTTCTGAAGATCAGAAAATCAGTAGGGAAGATTATGCAGTGGGGTTGGTGTTATGTGGGGTGGTGGTGTCAATGGTTAACCCGTTTGACATAGGAAGGAGCTATGTATGTTAATGTGGGGATGGAGAAGAAAAAATAATCTTGTCTTGTAATGCATTGAGAGGAAGGACAATGCCATGTGAAGATGCATAATGTGGTCCGTGATGGGGTGTTTGTGACATCAGTAATTGAGGTAAACGTGGCAAAAAATCTAGGAGCAAAAAGGGAAGTTTTATATCTGCATGATGAGAGGTACAAAATCAACTGCTTTATCAATGTGTTTGATGTAATATTGATACATATTGAAAGTGGATTTTTAGTATCAAATGTACCTTTTTAAGGTGCATGAAGTTATGAGTGCAGTTTATACAGATTGTGGAGAAGTACTTTTGCCATCACTGGCAGAATGATGAACTCTTCTAGTAAGAGCACAGGAAAAGTATCATTTGAAAATTTTCAAGGCATAGGAGTCATGGGTGATGAGTTAACTGTGATGTCTGAGCCATTTGTTGAGTGATTGAAGCTTCACCAATACAACTTCTAACTTAGCTTGTTGATTACAATGTTACAACTGGATCATGCCTCACTGAGGTATGATAGTGAGACTGGCAATTTCATTCCAAAGGAAGCAGTAATTGAAATAAAATCCCCTAGCACTTGCTCATGATTTTTGAACCAGCATGATTAAGATTCAATGTATATATATGTGACCACAGAGAAAAAAACAAGTACTGTAAGAAAGAAAGTGGCTAAGTTGTGGTTGTCTTCAGTAGGAAACCTATTCACATGTGGGGGTGGGGGGTGTTTGTGGAAATGTCCCCTCTTTCACTTCAACAAAAATTACAAAACAAGTATTGTAAGTTTTTATGTTTTGTCTCTTATTGCTGCAATTTTCAATGATCTGAATCCAAACTCTGTTTGAGTTTTACTCATGCCCCACAATTTATAAATTTAACACACACACACACATATATAGTAAAATATCTAATTAAATTATTTTCAAAACAACTTTAAAAATTACACCATGTCTTTTTTCTTTCTTTTATTAACTAACGGTCAAATATGAATTGTCTTTTTTTTGGAACCATTTTAATAAAACAAAAATAAAATGTTAGGATGAAAAATAACTTTTCCCTCTTTCTATGTATACAAACACTTACTTCATACATGTTTTATTATTTGCTAAGTCAGCATCTCGGGTATGATTAAAATGATATCAATACAATAGGCTGATAAAATAAATAAAGTAATCATATATTATTTATGCATCGAATAGATTATTTAAGTTAAATAAGACAATCATCTTATATTACTAAATGATTTGATAGAAAGATCAACTAGTTGATTAAGAGTATCAACGAAAAATACAATGAAGAACTCTAGTATAAACATGTTGATGAATGAAATGATGATTTATCTTTGTACGAAAGACCTTATCTGTGTAACCTAAATAACAACGATTAATGGAGGATTGGTAAGTAGAGAAAAAGTCATCGAGAAACGAACAAATGTAAATTATTTAAATTTAAATGGTGTAATATTAACAAGTGCATTATTCTTGGGTTTAATGGTAGACTAATTGATAAGCTTTTGTTTTTCATTGGGACAAGACTCTTCTTTCATCAATAGTGTATTTGGGTGCTTTGGAGTGTTCAATAATTTAATCGTGCATTTTCATTCTATAACTTTGTTTATTTTCTTGTTTTTTTTAGTTAACAATAGTTTAATGTAAAAAAATATATAAATAAAAGTAAATGAATTCTCTAATCTGGTTTGGATTGGCTTTATGATTTTGTTGTATTTTTCAAAACAATACAACTTATTACTAAATTATCCAAAATAAATCATTAGAAACGATTAATTTCAAAACATGTACTTCAATTTCATCTTTCCAAATAGATAATTTAATAACTTACAAAATACTTCAGATAATTTTCAGAAAATATAAGAATTTTAAAAGAATATTTTCTTGGTAATAAGAGTCGCTAGGAAGATGAGTATTTTGTACCGCCACAATAGTTGTTCATTAACGTTAAAAAAGTGACGCGTGAATTACTTCACACCGTTGCTTTCTTCAACTGGCGCTCATTAGCTTTCTGGCTAGACAGACAGATCCAAACACGCTGTCAATATAACAAACGTCAGAGATGGTCTCTTACAGCTCAAAAATATGGCTAAGATGGAGCAGTTGTTCCATGGTCCACCTTTACATACCTTTTTCTTCTTCAAAATTAATTTATAGCAACTTGTGCAATCTTAAGGTTTAGCAAGAAGGTTAAAAACAGGAGAACATGGATAAATTAAAAAAATATACATTAAGCTGACAAAGAGAACAAGGGCCGAGAAGTTTAACAATACCGGTTCACTGAGCTATGAAAAAACAAATGGAATTTAAGACTTACCCTTACCCGTCTTGAACAAGAGAACATTCATGACACCCTCAAGCTGCAACACTATACATCAACTAAAATCTTTGGGCTGGTATGAGAATACAATAAACGATATAAGTTTTCTGCCCCTCAAACTTTATATGAAAAAGAAAAGAACACTTCAATCTATGGCAAGAAATTCACTAGCAGAAAAGTGGACAACCCAGTAATATAGTTGAAGAAATGGAATCTGCAAATCAAAGGCAGATAAAAAAGAAGTGACGTCTGCAAGTTGAAGACCACAAGGAAGCACACATAGAATTCACTTGCCAATCCTTCACTAAAAGCAAGATGGTAGCGCGGGCCCATGGCAAACAAAAGCCAGCACAACATAAACTACTACAAGTAGGATGAGAATAAGTGCAACCCTGCAACATGCAACTGTTTAGTCAGTAAGACCGATAAACAGAGAATCCTCTGACTGTAGTTAAAGATTGATTAATGATGTTATGACGAGGTTTTACAAATGAAGCAGTTTGTTGCCTACTATTTGAAATTATCCTAAATCTAGTAGAGGTGAATTCAAATTTTACTTTATGGAACTCTCAACACACAAAAACTTTAATTTTTATTATATTTAGAAAGATGTTGCACTATCAATAACATAAAAATCAATCGAATGTAGGGGGATTTGTCATGCAAATATAGCTTGGCAATTATAATTTTATATCATATGAGAACACGGAACCTTAATGATAACACTATTTTTGGGTTTCTTGGAAACCTTATATGTTGCAAATTAGACACCCTCGCATGGCCCTTCCCCTCAAATGTGTTCAACCAAGGGCCCATTTGTCATAAAGTTGCCTAGAATTGATTTTGATAAAATTAATTTTGAACCATTGAAATAATTAGAACACGTTCAAATTAAAAACCATAGGCTTATACTGGTACTAGTGTTTTTATTAGAAAGTGTGATTTTCAGACACCGAAGAAGCTAGATCTAACTTTGAAGTCCGCCACATAAAAGGAACATTTAGATAATTTTGGTGAGGCATGGGTGTCTTCTAGTTCACTGGATCAATTTCTATACATTCCACTTTGAAAGGTTTGATATGAAGAAGGAACATAAAAATGTTGTGGCAATGCACTGTTTATGCGAATTTGTGGGTTTGATAGGAAATCCCACATCTCCAAGATTGTATTCTCACACACACCTCTACAATTTTATGAGATAAAATCATTTTCACTTCTTCAAGTGTATCAGTGTTGCACATGCAAGGAGACTACACAACTCTCCTACTTTAACTAGTTTTTAGGAGCTTCCATTTGTCTCTGGTTTTCCTCCTCTTTGGTCTTTGTTGAGGATTTCATACCCTCCAACCTTTTTCAATTTTACCTCTTCCTTTCTCTAATACTTTTTCTTCTTTTATACTTTTACAAGTGAAATTATTTCTACCAAGAAAATTACTTTAGTACATTTAGATTTACCAACACTTCAAGTTACAACCAAAGTTTAAGCCCAGATGATTTCCATCATAGTCCTCTGAAATTCTGCTGAATATATATATATATATATAATCTCAGCATTGAGGAAAATCAAGTGATCATGCAAGAAATTATACAAAAAGAATGGAGATGAGGTTTCAGATTCATTCAAAAGACTGCAGTTTTTTCGTTGCAAGTTCAGCTAACATGAGTGAGTTTTAGATAGAGAACATACGTGAGCTTGACATTTCTCCACCACACGGTGCTTCTGAAGCGGCGAGCTTGCTTCCTGAAGCGAAATGTATTTCCTTGCATATTAGCAGTTTTATCCACCAGCAACTCCAACCGATCACCTCGATCTAAAACTTTGTCAATATTTTCTATCATGACATTTCGTACCTGTTAAAGAACCCAAAAGAAAAAAAGAGAACACACATTGAGAGCAAAACAACCAAATGAACAACAAATAAGGCTCGACTCAGAAAAACTTCTCAACAAATACACAAAGGAAAAGAAAATAAAAAGGTAAATAAATCCAGCTTCTGTCATAAATTAAAAAGTTAAAATTAACTTTAGTCTTACACACCTTCACTTTTCGGAAGCTCTCTTATCAAAACTTCTCCCAAAGCTATAGAGCATAACAGGATTTTAACTTAATAGGAGAAGTTCGATAAATTTTATTTCAGTTCATTCTCTAATAAGTGTTTACATAGAAGCTTATCCAAAATAGACCAAACTATAAAATGTAAAAGTCAAAGTGCACGTCAGTGCAGCACTGTCTTGGAACATATATCAAATGGAAAGGCTGCTCACTAATCATTATTAGATGTATTTAATTAATTATAAATTTAATGTTCCAATATCAAGCTCATTTTGAATTACTAAAATAGGATGAAATGAAGCGGAATTGATGCAAAAATGTAATCATACAAGCTACTAACTCACTGATTACCATTGACAGGGTTGTTTAGCCACACACTCGCCAAACAATCAGTTCTAAATTTTCAATTACTCAAAAAACCGAAGAGAAAAACCACCACACCTGAGACATTTCACCTTTGAGCCGATTGATCCTATCGGCGTTAGGATCGCTGGAGTAATACTCCATCTGCTGATTCAAAACCCTAGAGAATTCCTCGTTCATTCCGTAAGGCTGCGCGGAGTGAACGGCTCGCCCGTAAGTCCGCACGAACTTCTGATGAATATCCTCGAGAAACGCGAAAGGAAGTCTCCCTGCAAGGAATGAATTCAAAACATTAAAAGTGAATAGGTGATGGATTTGGGTTTTACAGAAGGAGTAGTGAACAGATCGGAAAACGCACTGCCGGCAGTGTCGTCAGCCATGCAGAGAACGGTGAGTCCATCGGTGCGTTTAACGTGGAAGATGTAGCGATCCTGAGAGTAGGAAACGTGCGTGTCGTTGCTGCCTGGGATCTTCTCGAGAATCTGCCGCGCGATTGCGCTGGCGTTGGTGGTGGTGCCGCTGTACTCCGCCAGCACCACCGATCCGCGACCTACCAGCGCGTACAGAATCCCCATTCGGTTCCGATCGGTGATCAATCGAAAAGCGCCAACACAACCAATACCAAACCCTCTTCTCTTCTATTCTCTTCTTCCACTTCTGTTCATGAAGTGTCCCTTTCTTCTTGACTTTTTGCTTTTACCATCATCACTGCCTTCTGCTTTCTGATTGGAATTTAATTATTGTCTTTGGATTTTAAAATTGCCGTTTTAATTTGTTTCCCTCTGTTATTTACTACAGCTATCATTCAAAATTAAATGAAATTACTTTCCTGATATTTTTTAATATTTCCAAATTTATTTAATCATATTGTTGTTGATAAAAGATTAATGTTTAAGCTTAAGAACGGGGAAAAACGAAAAACTTGACAAAAAGACGGTTGTTGAAACCTTTATCAGAGTTTTAAAATGTCTCTTACTTATTTTGTGTTTGTAGTGAAATTGGACAAACGTTTTTAGATTGACGCATACACGACATAATGATAGTAGTGTTTTAAATGGCTTTGTAAGGGTTAAGTTAGTTTTATATGAAATTTTGTTTTTCTAAAATTAAAGAAATTGAGAAAAAATAATTAAACTATTGTTTCTACGGGGATTAGAGTGATTTGGGAGAGATGATTTGAATGGATTTGAGGGTAATTTATTTGTTGTTTTTTTAGTGGATTTGTGGATAATTGAGAGTGGATTTCGAAGTAAAGTTTGTGAGAATTGGTGGAGCATTTGATTGATGTGACAAATTTAAAAAAACTTGTTTAATTAGTAGAAATTAAAGATTACCAAAATGTTCCGAGTATTTAAAATGTTATTTGTTAATGTTATATTTAATGTATAAAATATTTATAAAGAGTAAAAAATTAAAAATAATAATTAAAATCAATTTTTTTAAAGTAAAAAATTTATAATTTAGTAAAATGAATTTATTGAAAAATTATAATTTTTAGAAGTAAAATGAATTTAGTAAAAAAATTATAATGCTCAAAAGTAATTTGCAAACAACATCTATTACAACATCAATTTTTGCAATTGCTTATCAATTATAATAATTACTTTTAATTATATAAAAAAGTATTTGAATGAATTGATTTCATCATTTAATTATTGTGATATAAATTACAAAATTGATAACCTAATTAGAAAAAGTAAAGGGGACAAACTCTACCAATTTAGCTCTAACAATTAACCTAAATAAGGAAAATAGATATACAACATTTGCTAATAAATACTAACTATTATAATTTCCCCAACCACAACTAATCTATTATAATTGATACTAACCTGAATCTTATATTGCATTTATTCCTATGACAACTTACCACACCCAATAGAGGAATAACTCGCTTTAAGAACTTAAAAACTGTAATAAAAAAAACAGTGAGTAATGACACAAACGAAAATAAACCAAACTCAGAAGAAGTGAAATTGAAATTGCAACCCTGGCCGAAGGCCTCCAACCAGCTCAAACGTCTAAAACAATTTTTTTTATTTGTTTTTAATTATGTAATCCTTTCTTACAACTTCACTATACCTTGAAAAGTATCAAAATAAAAATAACAAATTTTAGTTTTTGGTATTTTTATAACTATGAACTTAGTATAGTATCAACAACATAACAAACAATAAACAAGGTTCAATCAAACAACAAGAGCAACAAACAAATTCAAGTTCAACAAAAACAACACAAATAAGTTTTTCAAAACAAAAATGAAAACGAAAATAACCTTCAAGGTGGTTCGTCGGAATAAAGTGTTCCCACCAGTGAGAAAGAAAACAGAATGCGCCTATGAAGGACAAGAACACGAAAATAATCGGTCAAAACAAACGAAAATTATACATAAAGTAGTTAATTAACATATTTGATAAAGAAAGAAATATGACATCTGATGGTTGGTCAAACTTTGTTCGAGAAAAAGTTTGAGAGAGAAGAGGGTCTCGCTGCTAAGATAAAGTAGAATAAATAATTTCAAATCTCCCGTCTCAACACTAAGAAGGGAACTTTTGTGACAAATCATATGTCGAAAGCTCCTACAAAATTAGACGTATTATTAACATGTGGTTTAAAAGAAAAAGAAAAAGAATTAAAAAGGGGTGATTTTTTGATTTTTGACGGACAAATAATACGTCGCCCTTATAAAATTCGACGTAGATTGGTATTTAAAAGAACAAAAAAAATAATTAAAAATAGTGACTTTTGGCTTAATGAGTGACAAATATTCATGCGATATTGACCTAGTATTTGTGGTTTTTTAAAAGAAATAAGAAAGAGAATAATACGCTAGTTAAATAATTACCATAATAGAAGGTCGAATTGGATGAAGCTTCGACATACGGTTTACAATTTCATTTATTTACAAAAAATGTCGGTTATGAAGGTTAAAGTTTGAAAGCGTTATACATTATCTTGCAGTTAGTGGATCACCATGTAATAATTGTCTTACTGTGATCTTTATCTTAAAATACAAACTACTAGTTGCTGCGGTCTTATTTTTTTAAGAATTATTTCTAAAATTGGACCTCTACTTGTATAAATTAATAAATACGTAATCCATTATCCTTTTACTTTCATAATCTCAACATAACATTTTATTATTCACGTTTACATACATTTAGTTTGTCCTGTTCCAGTATAAATATTAGAGAAAAAAAAAGGAAATTTAAAAACACCATTAATAAAAATAAAGGAGTAATATACAAAAGAGTTAGAATTGCATTTAATACAACTGAATACTATATAATGATAGTTGTATAACTTCTTCACTATATTAAAAAGATGGGAAGGGATAATATCATTCAATTATATTGAATTTAATTTTTTTAATTTTTACTCAATACAGAATATAGGCTTATATTTATATTTTTTAATAATTTTTTAAAATTTAAGCATAAATTTAAGTCTATATTTAATAAAAGTGACAAATTTAAATATTATAAAATAGAAATTCATAACTTTAATATTTTGAGGATTTGAAGTAACATTAATATTAATATATTATATAGATTAAACTCGTGTCATATTATAGATATTTTCTATACAATAAAACTTTTTTAAAAAATATACTCATTGAAAATAAGTCTGATTGACATTAATATAATTTCGGCTCAATATATAAAAAAATAAAATTGAGTCTTAATTTTTAATATAACGGTCAACTTTATTAATTTTTTTCCCGATCTCATTATGATATTCTTATAAAGTATTTTAAGTTCAGGTGCATGAATTATGAATATAAAATTATAAAGTTATGGTGGTTGGTTTATAAATATATCGAAGGAAGAGAGAATAGTGTAGAGATGCAAAGATGAAGAACATCATAAGCATACTCGTGACGTTGTGTTTAATGAAAAGTTCAGAATGTTCTTCGTCTGACATGAATAGGTTTCCATCTCCAACCATTTCAAACGACACAGACACGAACAGTCTCTTCATTTCCATCGCGAGTGGTATGTCCCCCGATGATCCTCAAGTGTTTTTCTTTTACAACAACCAAAAAGATCCAATCTATTTGCAACCTAGAATACCCTTTACGAAAACTACCAACTTCGATCGCTCGGTAATTATGATGTATTGGGATGTGTTCTCCGTGACTTTCTATGGGTATGATCCTAGCACAGAAGGAAATCATCAAAAGGTCTACTGGAAGGTGGATGGAAACGGTGTGTTTCATAGTTGGGACAACGAGAACTGGGAAAAACGAAAAACTTGGCTAAAAGATGCTTCTTGAAACCTTTACCAGAGTTTTTTTTGTATGAAATAATTAAATAAATAAAGTACGTGCATTTTCATCTGCATCAATTATACAATCTCCTACAAAGTCTTTAACTTAAATAATTCTTTTTAATATTTAAACAAAACTAATTAATTTAAAATCACAATCTACTAGGATTAATAATGATAATATCAATAATAATATTTACATTTAAATTTATATCATATTTATCATTTAGGATAAAATGTTAATTTTTTAATTTTATTCATTAAACCATTTTCTAAATTATCGCATCCGTCACATTCTTACACATTCTTAAATCCATTTAAATCACACCATTTTTTTTATCATCTCAAATCAATTCATTCATGTCCTGTCTAATTCAACGTACACTCATAAAGATAGATTTGGGAGAGAATAAATGTATGAATTTGGAAAAATTTAAATGTATAATTTATTTATTCATTTTAAAAAAGATTTTGGAATAAAAATGTTTATGAAAATTTGAAAATATTTGATGGAAATGATAGATAAAAAAATTTAATATATAAAAATTTAAAATTTAAAATTTTTTAAGTAATATAAAATAAAGATTAAATTAGTTTAAAATAATTTTTAAAAAAATGTTAATTTTAAATATGGTATAAAAAATGTTTAATATTTAAATATTAAAAAAAATTATTATTATTTTTATTAGTATTTTATTTAGACATGTTATTCTCCATTAACAATAATTACAAAAGCTTTCTAGAATGTTATTAGTATTACTAATTATTTTAAGTATAATATGTGGATGTATTATTTGATGAAATTATAACAACATAAGAATACAACTTTCAAAAGAAAGCTCACCATAAGAAAACCATAAGAGGATTTCTCTCTCGTGCAAAACCTTGTCACCTTCCTTTCTCTTGCGATCCTAAAGACCCTTCTCCTCACTATGTTTCACACAATCACCATAGCTTTACAAAGAATATATGATAGTTTCACACAATTACTACAACCTTCTACGCAAACGTGAATTACAACACAAGAAATTAAATTAAAGAACAAAGATACAAAAAAAAGTATCATATGTGAGAATATATTTCAATTAAAACTGATGACCAAAAGAAAACTTCCTCAATATTTTAATATTCTTTAATAAAAACTTGTAAATATGAAATGCTAAAAACTCTTATACACACTTTATGTTGATCTTATAATTTCAAACGGTTAAAATAAAATGAGAGGAAATGGAAGATTTAAAAAACTAAATAACTATCAAGATTATTCAATTAATATGCATTAATCACATTTTTTAAAACCTACTTAATTAAACGATTATGAAAGTGGTTTAATTGATTAAAATTATCATATTTTATATTTATTTTTTAAATATAATTAAAAACGCACCTAAATTTGTAGCATCCCATATTAATAGTATAATATTACCAAAATGAAATGTTACATAAATGCTAAA